CGTTAGTAAATCTAAATCATAATCATCTTTTACATATTCACTCATCTTACTATATTTAAAATGCTTTGTCCAGTCTTTTCGTTTATTGTTGTCGTCGCGTGCGTCGCGAGCCTCTGGCGAGGCGTCATATTTAGTTAGTTTAACTAGCTTATCTAACGATGAAGATAAGAAACTAAAACTATCTTTAAATTCAATTTGTTTAATTGAAAAGGTAACAAATTTCTCACTATTCTGCGCTATTACATTTATATCGGCTTTTTCACTATTCAACTTATCAAGATTAGATATTATTAAATGAGCATCATAATTTTTAAGGTTATGGAAGAATACGGGTATTTTAAAGTATCTGAAAGAAAAATCTAAATTACATTTGTTATGAGCACAACCTCTATATTTACCAGTAAAATGACAGTGGTCGCGAACCTTCTTTTTATCTTTCGTATCGTTAAATGAACCTCCACAAATATGACACTTTTTACATTCTCTAAATTGTTTTTCTTCTTCATCTGTTAATTTTTCCATGGGTAAAGGGTTATTCATTTTATACATAATCTCATCTCTTATTTCATTCATTTTATTGCAAAATACATTCATACAATCTTCACCTCTGTATAAATAAGGCTTAACTTCATCTGTAATAGAATTAACAACATTTATCATAAATCCTGATGGTTTATGATTTTGGTACGCCCCTTTTAATCCTTCATTTGATAAAGTTGTTAAACATTCAAAATCACCATAAATAACATATGGACATCTCAACTTTTTATAATGGTTTTTGAAGAACATTTTTTCATTATTTTCGGGCATCTCTGTTTTTTGAACCTCGTTAGCCATACAACCCTTAGTAATATGAGTATGTAATAAATTCTCTTTTGTAAATCCTTTTTGACAATAATGACAATAAAATTGTTTATTTGTTTTTTTATTTGTTTGTCCTCCTAAAAGTCTAGAATAGTCTTTAATAAAAACATAATGGCTTCCCTCATCATCATCAAGACGAAGAAGGTTAACATGACATATAGGTTCAGTTATTTTTGTAACTCTATCTACTCGTATTTTCTGATTATCTACTGTATAAACATTTACTGAAATATTTCTATTATTAATTTGTTCAAAATAATCAATATCCTCATTTGAAGCTGGAAAATTAACACCTTCCCATTTAATTATACTATCATTTTCAAAAGGTTTATATTTACATATTCTACATGGATGGTCTTTTTTATATACTTCAAAAAATTTACATAAAACACAATATTTGAAACAAAATTCATCATTGTTTTGAATGTTAATACAAGCCTTCTTTAAAGAAATCCATCTAGGTAATTCAATAAATTTACCCGCTCTTGTCGGGTCATATTTATCATAATGAAATGTTATTTTGTTTATTTTATGAAGCTTTAAATCAGACCTATAAAAATTTTTATTTTCTACGCTTATTTCTATATCAGATGCCATATTATTTGTTGCATTGTTTAAGTCTTCTTCGTTTAATATATTATATCGTCGTGAACGAATACTAGCAACAAAATCCTTATCTTCATCTTCTAAATGCTTAAACTGAACGGATACATCAACTAATAGTTTCATACTTTTGTTTTTATTTAAATAATCTCTTAATCTAGGTTTTTGATAATATATGTGAGTTAATCCTGCATAGCCTAATTTTTGAATGTTTGTTATGACATATGTGTTAGCATAAGCTTTTAAAGCTGTAAATACGTTAGTTCTTGTGCCGAATGTTGATATAGCATATCGTTTTAAAGCTTTTCTTACTGCTATCCCCTTAGATGCTTTATCCAGTATGTTAAAACGTTTGTAACCTGGTGTTTTTTCTACTTGTTCTAGTTTATTTATAAGTGTTCCTGAAAAAGGTTTTGATGGATTATATGGGTATTCTTTATCATCTATAATAACTTTTTTTAATTGTTTACCGTCTTTATTTGTTTTAATTTTACCTACATCACTATTTAAAACATATTTCATTACAGATTTTTGTCTATTAATATCCATATTATTATAATGTAGATTTTCTTTTAAGTAGTTTTTTATACCCGTGGTGGGGCTGGGGCTCTCCATACCCTTTAAGGTGGCTTCCCTTTAAGTATGGGGCGGGCGCGCGGGCGTGGGCTGGCGGTTAACATTCATATTATAATATAATATGATAGTTAAAGTTTTTATGTTAAAAAGTCATCTGTTCTATTGATATAATCGTTGTCCTGTATTATTGATTTTTGTTTCTTGATTTTCTTAATGTATTCTTCTTTAGGCATATAAGGATATTTAGCATCTATAAAACGTTCAAATGTATAATCATCTTTAAAATGTTTTTCACCTATTCGTATATTAATAAATTTAAAAGCTTCATTTGAATACAATTTAAATTTTAGTTTGCTAAATTTTTCATTATTGTCTATGTATGATAAAATCGCATGAATTGCACTTTCAACTTTATTTATTTGACTTTTTACATGATTAATAAATTTTCTCCTGGTATCATTCTTTTCATCTATATTGTTATAATAATCATTTATAATTTTATTTCGTTGTTTGGTGTAAAAGTCTTTTACTTTATCATTAATTGTAAATGAGTTGACGTATAGTAATTTAATCTCATTGTAGAATTCATTATTGTAAAATTTGCATTCCGGTATTACACTTTTGGACCATCGTAATGTCTCCTCAAATGTAGGAAATGGGTTTAATTTAACATAATAATATATTTGTGTATCTAATTTCTCTTCTGTGTAATCTGTTATATTGTATTTATGTTTATCTTCAATTGCTTTAACCACATTTTCAAAACCTTCAATACTGCAATCATAAACATTTTCTTTAAATTCTTTTAAAGTTTTACATACTTCACATTCTTTATAATTATATTTACAAATATCTTTAACAATATTACCAGGTATATTTAATTTATATAAGCTCAAATTCTGTTGATTAAACTTACAGTTTTTACATATACTAACTTTATGATTAATAACTGTTTTCATTTCAATAACATTTAAGAATTTATTAATAATTTCTTCTTGTTCTAATGTTGATAAAAACATTATATTATTATAATGGTAAAATGTCTTTAAGTATATTTTCTGTTCTGGGCTAGGGCTCTCCATACCCTTTAAGGTGGCTTCCCTTTAAGTATGGGGCGGGCGCGAGGGCGCGCGGGCGCTAACCAAATACCTGAACCAACCCCAAAAAATAAAATCATTGAAAAAAAGGAGCGCTTTTTAACACGAAGGGGAAGAATGACTTGCCCTTCATCACTGTGCCTCGTTGCCACTTCCAGCATATGCCAGAATGTGCATAAACACTGTTCCCCGTTGCCACTTCCAGCATATGCCAGAATGTGCATAAACATATGCTTTCGAATGCATCACTGTTTATATGGGGGTGTAATATAAATTATGCTAAAACCGGCATAGGGGTATGCTTCTAAAAGCATATGCCTAAAACCGCATCGTGATATGCTCCAAATAGCATATGCTCCCAAAAGCATAGGGGTATGCCCTAAATAGCATAAGGGTATGCCCTAAATAGCATAAGGGTATGTCCTAAATAGCATATGTATAAAATTCCAATAGGTGATGACATTAACCATTTAAATCTTGATGAACTGCAAAAACATTTAAATGAAATATGTGATAAAGAAGAAGATGAACATTATTACAACTCTTACAAAAAAAACATTTAAAGAAATAGCCCCATAAAATTATATGGAGAATTCTGACATTAACCAACCTACTAAAACGTGTTCTAAATGTAAAAAGGAAAAAGGAGAAGACCATTTTAAACCAGAGCGAAAGTTATGTGATGAATGTTTAGAAGAGAAAGCCATATATAGAGAGAAGAACAGGGAACAATTGAGACAGAAAGCAAAAGAATATTACCATAATAACCGTGAGAAAGAAATAGCAAGGGCAATAAAATATAAACAAGAGAATCGCGAACAAATTGTTCTACAGAGTAAACAATACAGAGAAGTAAATAAGGAAGCAATAAATGAAAGGAACAAGCAATACTACCAAAGTAATAAGGAAGAAATTTTGAGTAAAAAAAAGAAAAGGTTTATTGTCAACATTGTAACTGTCAGTTTAATAAATATTGTTTGTCAAGACATATACAAACTAAAAAGCATCAAAAATATCTTAAAGAAACAGAACCTAAGGGTCTAGCAAACTTATATACAATTATGCATTCATAATAATATTGATATAAAATATTATTATAAATGTAGACAAAAACCACCGCAGAAACCTAGACATAATATTATATAGAATATTATACATAAACCATGACAGAAGCTGAATACAAATGAGAGGCGAAAAAACCTGAATAAGGTGACGATATTTTTTGATAATTTTTTGATAAATTTTGAAAAAAATTAGAATGAAACAGAGGAGTAAATACAAAAACGAAGTAGGAGATTAAATTTAAAGGAATGAAACAGATGCCGAAACAATATATTTGAAAAAACTACTACAAGGACAAAAACCCTAGAAAATTATAACGTTAGAGATGCCTAAAACTGATTTTAAATTTTGTTAAAATGAATGAGATGACTGGGGCTGGGATTTTTTGAGAAATTGTTAAAAATTTGTGAAAATTTGTGTTTAAATGTTAGAGGAGCGTTAATGTGAAAATGCATAAGGTAATTCTGTATAAAATATGTTAAAAATTTTGCCAGAATTAATACAAAAAATTGATTAAGATGACAACAAAACGAAATATTATTAAAGTGAGCTATGTTGATAAAACGACATAGGGGCCTATGTAGGGTCGGGGGGCAGAACCCTACAACCAACCTTTTCATAATTTTTTCACCTTACCCGCTTCGCACACCGGAATACCTGGATGGGGTACCTGGCTTGGGTCCTTCGGACCTAGCTAAACTCCAGGAAAGCCATGAAATCCTGTCTCGCTGCTGCAAATGTGTCTCCATAGTCTATTCAGCAGGTGGACACGGTCATGTTGAACAACCTCCAGGAGCAATGTCCTGGGAAGAAAGTTGCCTACAGTCCTGGATTCATGAATGCTCAGCCTCTCTGGTCTGGGTGGCTGCGTGCGGCTATGGCCTGCCTTGGGCAAAATCCTGGTTGTTTTCTTCCAGCTATGCGCCATTACGGAACATGGGCTGTGTTTGCGAGCATGGGCGTGATTCACATCAAGTCATGCGCGGTCTGGACAGCTCGGGCGTGTTCAGAAGCAGGTTTACAGCTCAGTATCCAGAGGCGCTTGCAACCACTTTTGCTGCTCAGATTCAAGTTCTCTTGGACAAACCAGGCCCTGCACTGCAATTGCGCGAGGCCCTCACACTGGTGCCACGTAAGCCCATGGATCAGTTACCATATGCAGTTCATGATGGGGCGGGTCGTCATTCGCACGCTGATTGGAGCGCTCCCCGCACGCCAGATCTGTTGCGTAACTTGCGCTCTTTCTTGCTTAAGGCCACTGCATCCATGAACGGCCCCTCCCGCCTGCTTCAGCGTCGCTATGAGCCCAGCAAAGAACCGCTTTTCTCAGCTTCAGAGGTTGCTTCGGTTAGGGCAGGGTTCTTCTCGGCATTAGGCGTTGCGGCTCCGGCCGATGCTTGGTTACAGCGGGAACATCAGCCTCTCTGTTTGAATGCCTTGGAAGCTGTTGCTCAAACATGCTGCGACGCTGATACAACTTTGTTCCCAGCTTTGAAAGCAGGCGTTCCAACAGGCTTTCAGTCGGATATCCCGCCTTCACACAATTTTTGGCCTAACACTCGTGAATCTTTAGATGACATACCACTTTCGATTCACTTGCAGAATTGGCGCTCCGCTACAGTGGATCCCTCTGTTACTCGCAGACTGCTTCAAGAAGAACTCGATCAAGGTTTTTGCTTCAAATTCAACGGATCGTTGGCCGATGCCCAGCGACGCTGGCCCCTAGGGGTTGCGCTTGGCAAACTTTCGGTTGTTAGGGCTCCTGGTAGATCAGAAAGGCTTTGTCTTGATAATTCGGTTTGTGGCACAAACGCGAATTGCACCGTGCCTGAGAAGCAGCACATGCCTTCAGCTCGAGACGTCTTGCATTCCTATCCCCTGCGTGAATGCTCGCAGATTCAGGGGGCACTTTCGATTGACATCAAAAGCGCTCATAAGCGCTGCGTTGTCAAAGATGCGGAACAAGGACTGCTTGGGTTCACATGTGAGGAACCAGACGGGTCAAATGCCCTCTATTTCTATCGCACATGCCCATTTGGAGCCACGTTTGCCCAGCACTGGTGGGGGCGCCTCGGCTCATGCATCCTTCGCATTCTGCATATTCTCATCTACATAGCCCACACAGGCCATTTGTTTGTAGATGACTATCTCTTTTCTCAGGCGATGTCCATTCTTCCAGCAACAAGTGCCATGATTTGCATGTTCATGCAGATCATGGGTGTGCCTCTTTCCTGGCACAAACTGCAGATTTCTGTTCGGGTCACTTGGATAGGTTGGGACTTTCAGTACTCTGCCGGTATTGTGTTGCTTAAAGAATCAAAACGCTTGAAACTGCTGGGCATGGTGCAAGATTTGCGTAAAAACCCTCGCTTGACGAAAAAGGACTTAGAACGCTTCATTGGCTTAGCGCTGTGGGCTACAAGCCTTTTTCCGGTCATGAAGAGCATGCTGCATACTTTTTATCACGATCTCTACAGCCCAGCTGCTACGAACTACAGCATTCCGCCAGAGCGCTGGCATGAAATCGCTAGATACTTGTCGCCGGATCTGCTTTTCACAGTCACGCCGCCAGGTACGGGGATACCTCCCGGCTCCAAACTGCTTTCGGCACGTCACCAAGCCTTGCACTCCCTTCAGGATCTTGAGACAGTTCGGGTTTCTGAACGTAGGCTTTGGCTTCGGGTTTCTAGTCAGAACAGCAAGAAGCGAAAATTGTGCTTGAACTCGCTGCGCATTCTTGGCATATTCGAGCATTGGCTGTTGCATATGTCACCGTTCCGCTCGATGCGGCAGCCTGCCACGCCTCTATTTGATGCACGTGCAGATGCCAGTGCCAAAGGCTCTCATTGCTGCATAGGTGGCTACGTGCGCCACCCCTCTTTAGGTCATCGCTGGTTTCAACAAACCTTTGCTCACGCTGATTTCCTAGCTTTGGGCATTGGGGTTCAAACTGATATGGCAAGGGAGATTTCGTGTTATGAAGCTCTCGCACAGGCAGCGCTGATATTGGCGGCATCTGCCTTGCTTCCATGCAGTTGCATCCCAATCACACTCAGAGCTCTTTCAGATAACACGGGTGCGGAATCAGGTGTTAATGACTCCTTGACAACCAGTCAGCCCTTGTGCTTTTTCTTGGAGCGAATTTCACTTCTTGCAGCGGTGCATCGAGTCACCCCTGACGTATCGCACATACCGGGTGAAGCAAATGATAAAGCAGATGCTCTGTCTAGACCACATGAGCATCCATTGCCTCACGATTGTTTGCAGCACGAGCGCATTTCCGCTACGCTTCAGGATCTTTGGCTACCGCGGCCAATGATCAGTGTCTCACCTTCGTCTGTGCAGCTTCCGTGGCAAATTCGTTCGCATGGAGTGCCCACCAACCTCACATAAATTCGGGGTGTTTTTCTTAGCGAGGTTGCTGGGTAGTTCTAAATTGGTGCGGTTGGACCACCCATCAACCTCTAATGCTTGCTGGACTTGCAGTCCGGACTTCGTGGGCATACGGCACTCCATAAAAAAGCTTCCGCTTAGTCGAGTTTAATCCCTTCGGGATACACGCCTAGCCAGCACAACTATAAAGTAGTAGAACGGTTAGTGTACTTGTTCACATCTGTTTTACTACTTTATGTTCGTGCGAACATTTGGCTCAGTTGTGCTGGCTAGGCATCTTTCTTGAAAATCCTCACCCTCCCGCCCATTTCACACCTTTCGGTCTCACCGGCATTGGCTACAAGAACGCTTCAAGATCCCCGTAACAAGAAAGTCAAAAGTTCCGGCTTCGGGGCAGCCGTATCTAGAGTGCAGTGCCTCACCGTGCGTCTCACACCAGCCTGAATCCCCACCGTTTTACGCCCTCAGGCCCTCTCCTGTCACATTCTGGGCATGCTGCTTTCTTCGGGCTGGTCTCTGGGCTTCATCGCCCAGCTTCCGTACACGACAGCTAAAAGCTGCAGCTTTCTTGCATGCTCTGTGCGCCACACTCAGATGCAAATGCTTAAGTATGCTTGCTGGACTTGCAGCCCGGACTTCGTGGGCATACGGCACTCCATAAAAAAGCTTCCGCTTAGTCGAGTTTAATCCCTTCGGGATACACGCCTAGCCAGCACAACTATAAAGTAGTAGAACACCGGTGAATGCTTCCGGCTTGCATGGTATGTGAGGAGTCTCTGTCTTGATGCTGTGCGATTCGCAACCGTGCACCTGAGACGATCATGCTTTTCTTTGTTAGGACCTGTAGCTGAGTGCTTGGGTCGTGCCATGGCAGCCTCGTACTCAGAGTCCGAAGCTGTCTTCAGCGACAAGGTCAGGACCTCGGGCCTGTCGGCTGCTGACCAGACTAATGTGTTGGCTGGACTGAAGAATTTGAAACAGCTGGCATTTGTCAGCTCCTTCACTCCGGGACAAGCCGATGAGAAGTGAGAAGCCTTGGATTGCGGCTTTGGATGCTCTAGTCAAAAGGGACACCAGTACTGACTTAGCTGCTCAGGCGTGCTTCAGAGCTCTTTTCCAGCAGGCTTACGCCATAGTCACCACCGAGTTTAGGCAGGCCATTGAGCGCACTGAGGACGCTCCCAGTCGGTCTCTCAGCGCGCCTGAGCGTGAGGAGCGCTACATGCGACAGGTGAAGAAGTTAACCGGGATCAACATAAAAGGCGAGACTGAACCAAGTCAGGCCTTGGTTGATCTCTGTGTGAATATCTATGAGTCGAACACTTTGCGCTACGTGGCCTGGGAGAAGTGCACTAGTCGGCTTGCCGAGGTTCAAGGCGATGCCAAAAAGGACACTCGATTCACACTTGATGCTCAGGGCAAGACCTTGAAGCTTGAGTCAAAGGCCCCAGATGACAAGTGTCAGGTCGACTCCGAGGTGCATCTTCTTCAGGCTTTACAGCGTAGGGCCCTTGCCCTGGACCAAGCCAATGTTGTTGATTATGCTGTCATCGATGTCTGGCATCAGAAGTTGCTTAGGGCGCGGATGCAGGAGGTGCCAGCAGGTCATGTCCGGCCCAGCTTCAAGCAGCTCTTGCGGGCCGATCAGAAGCTTTTCTCAGAGCTGCAGGACCGCTGTCGTGCAGGAATCCAGGCCACATCAGCTGGCCGCCCCTTGGATGGCCTGATTCCGTTGGTGATGGATCTGAGTGATGTGGCAGTCCTATTGCAATCTCCTCCTCTGCCTCCGGGGCCGTGGGTCTCTCGCGAGAGGCCGAGCCCATACACTCGAGAGGGTAAAGGCCGAGGCAAAGCGGGTAAAGGACGGGCCAAGGGGAAGGGCGTGCTGCCTAAGCCGCTTGTGGGCTGCTACAGTTCGACAAATGCTGGCGAACCCATATGCTTCGATCACAACATCAATGGATGCAGCCGGGTTGTCAAAAGCGGCAGATGTGAGAAAGGGATTCATATATGTGCCCGATGTCGTCAGAGCGGCCATACTGCTGCAAACTGCCCCAAGAAGGAGTGACTATCAAGTGTGGTCGATGCGACTGCAGGTGGCTGGGAATGTCCCCAGCTTGACTCATTGGAGTCTCAATCCCTGAGTTCGGCTAATGAGCTGGACCATGCAATGCCTTGCCCTGTGGGGCCTGCCGCAACATTGGTTGCTGCTTGTGCTTCACTCAATGAGAGAACGCATGATGCCGGTTCGCCCGTGGGCGGTGAACCTTCTGTTGGAGCGCGTGATTGCGCCGCCGCGGATCCTCCTAAAAGGAAATCCAATGACATCGACTGTGAGTCGCCGAGCAAGGCGCCTCGACTTGGAGGCCCTGAAGCCCTTGCCTCTGATTTGCACCGCAAACACTTGTTCGATGCAGCTAGTGTGCTTTCTCTCTTCGACCTTCTGCCAAAGGCTGATATCACACGACTTTCTCAAGCCAAAGGCTCAGTCTTCGCTGTGGGGTCGTATTCTCACGGCCCTATCAAAGGTTTGCGGCATTTCACCCGAATTTATCCCAATGTCTGCCGATACTTGTGTGCTTGCGTCCTGCATGTCCTTCCGACGCACAAATTTTCAAGTCTGCTGATCTCTGACTCGGTTGAAAGTCAGCCCCACACTGATCCCAACAACGGCCCGACTTTGAACCTTTTGATACCTCTGACGCACTTTTCAGGTGGCTCGCTTCGAGCCGGTGATTGCGACCTCGACTTCAGTCGGGGTGCCTGGGCTTTCAATGCTCGTGACGGCTGCCACGCCGTGGCGCCTTTTCAGGGTCGTCGGGTTATGCTCATAGCTTTCAGCACCAAGGGCGTTTGCGATTCCGACTCTGAGGTGTTGTCTCAGCTCCATTCTTGTGGTTTCGCCCTTCCCAGCGCTGATGCTGTGATGCCCGCGTCTCCAGTGGGCCCTCTACCTGACATCAGAAGCTCTGTCACTCATGAGCCCCTGAAAGTGCTGAAGCCGTGCCGGCTTGTTGTCCTCGACCTCTTCTGCGGACG